GATGTAAGACACATACCAGGTGTGGGCGACGTGTGCTGGGCAAGGAGATAAGCGAGATGATGTCAGCTTCCCGCATTAAAAGCCGACGTATCATCAATTTTTCTTAAGTTTGTGATAACAGACGGTGAAGATTAGGCTTGTTTCCTATATTCTATTATTAGCAACACAATTTACTGTTATAACCTGGGTCGTTTTCAAGATTCTATAGTTAGCAACAATTTTTGTGTCAGTCGAACAATAACAATAACAACAATACTAATAATAGTAATAATGATAATAACAATAACAATAATGATGATGCTGATGATGACGATGCCAATAAGGATAATAACATAATGATAATAATAATGATAATGACAATATGATGATGATGATGATGATAATGATGATAGGCCTACGTTGCTTGGCCTCCCCTCCGCGATGCCGCCACGCTGGACGTAGGCATTTTGGGATGCACTTGAACAGGAAAATAATGCGTCTAATATGCCGGCAAATATGGCATACTGTCATCTTATTCTGTTATTATTATCATTATTATCATTATTATTATTTTCTATTATCATTATTATCATTATTATTTTCTATTATCATTATCATTATTATTTTCTATTATCATTATTATTATTATTATTTTCTATTATCACTATTATTATCATTATTATTTCTATATCATTATTATTTTCTATTATTATTATTATTATTATTTTCTATTATCATTATTATTATTATCATTATTTTCTAATATCATTATAATTATTATTACCATTCATGTTATGATTATTGTTATTATTATTATTACCATTGTAACTGTTATTATTGTTGTTATTCGTTATTGTTATTATTGTATTTATTTTTTATCATTACTACTATTGTCACTGTTATCATTATTGTTGTCGTTCTTAATTATTATTATTAATATTATCATCATCATCATCATCATATTGTCATTATCATTATTACTATCATTATTATTATTATCCTTATTATCATCAGCATCATCGGCATCATCATTATTATTATTGTTATTATCATCATTACTATTATTAGTATTGTTGTTGTTGTTCTTGTTATCATCATTATTTTTACTATCATTAATTTTATCGTTACAACTGATAACAATGATAATAAAACAATGATAACAGTAACAGTGATAATAATATTGCTAAATGACATAATATGATAATAATGATAACAATAATAATAACAATAATAACAATAATAATAATGATAATAATAATAATGATAATAATGATGATGATAATTATTGTTATTATTATTATTATGAAAATGATAACGCTGATGATAAAGAAGATACAGATAACAAATATTATCTTTATTGCTGTTATTATTTCTGACATTATGATCAATATTTCTACTACCATCATTATTATTACCACAATTAGAAGTAGTTTTGTTATTATCATTATCATTATTATTATCATCATTATTATCGTTATTATTATTAATGTTGTTGTTGATGGTGTTGTAATAATCATAACTGTCATCATTATGGTTATTATGGTTGTTGTTATTATTGTTATTTTTTATCATTTATTTTTTCATTATCATTATTGTTATTGATATTATAAGTATTAGTATTATCATTATTGTTGTTATCCTCATAATTATTGTTGTTATTATCATATTATCATTATTATCATTATTGTTTTTATTATCATTATTATTATTATCATTATTATTATTATTGTCATTATTATTATTATTACCATCATCATCATCATTGTTACTATCATTATCAATTATCATCAACTATCATCATTATTATATCATCACTATCATTATCATTGTCATAATCATTATCATTATAATCATTATCATTGTCATAATCATTATCATTATTGTTATTAGCATTATTATTATTACTGTTTTGTTGTTGTTGTTGTTATCATTATTATGCTTATAATATAATCATAATTATTGTTATCATCATCTTTATTTTTATTATCATTATAACTATTATTATGATTATTATTATTATCATCATTATAACTATCTTTATCATCACCATCGTTATTATCATTGGTATTATTACTATTATCATTATTATTATTGTTATTTTATTATCATTTATATCATTATTATTACAATTATTGTTGTTATCATTATCATCATCATTGTTTTTTTTTGTTATGATGTCATGACTACTATTATTATTATCATTATTATTAATATATATTATTATCATTATCATTAATATTATTATTATTATCATTATCATTATCATCATTATTATCATCATCATTATTATTATTATCATTATTATTATTATCATTATTATTATTATCATAATTATTATTATTATTATTATCTTTATCATAACAATCATTAATGCTATTATTATTACTGCTATTATCATTACTATTGTAATCATTACCATTATCATTATTACTATCACTGCAAGCAATAGTAGTAGTAGTAGTTTTTATTGTTATTTTATTATCATTTATATCATTATTATTACAATTATTGTTGTTATCATTATCATCATCATTGTTTTGTTTTTGTTTGTTATATAGTATTATTGCTATGATTTCTATTGTCATCATAATTATCGCCATCATTATTTTCATTGTTACTATCATTATCATCATCATTGTTGCTATTTCCATTGTTATCAATATTGTTACTAGTATTTTTTTATATCAGTGGCACTCATTACAGTTATTATTACTCAGATTTTCATTATCATTACAAAGAATATCGTTATTGGCATCGAGGCAATTGTGGACATTAATATTTAATACCATTTATCGTTATCTTTATTTTTTCGTCTCTTTTAATATCTATTTTCAATAAGAGGAATATATAATCTTTATATTATTTTCATTATCAATTTTATTCATGTTGATATCATCATTAGCACTATCATTATCATGATCTTTACCTTCCTCATTATTGTCATCATTATCATTATCGCTATAACTTTAATTTTCATCATTATTGATACTATTGTTGTTCTTGATATGAAAATCATTATCGTATCGTCATCATTATCATTATTATTGTTAAGGATATCACCATTGTTAATATCAACCATATTTTCGTTATTTTTATACTATATATCGTTATTGTAATAATTACCTTCATTGTATCGATATCTTTAGCATTGGAATATATAATGATGATAAGAATATTAGTTAAAGTATATGCAATATATAGCTTAACTAGAAGCTCTCAGAGAGCGCATACCTCCGTCAAGGTAACTGGATCACGGATGCAATGAAATTATTCACACAAAAAATTACATTAAATCACCTTTCTCAAGTACACGGGTAACGTCCGTGTTTGTCTGCCTCGCAAGACTAATGAATAATAAAAACCTGCTCATAACTTTTTTTTTAATTATCCTGCTCAGGATCCAGATCATCATCAACATTTAATAACATCAAAAGTTGGGCTAAGATACACATTTGACAAAAAAAAAAAATAATAATAAAAATAAAAAAATAACCAAGAAACTAGTCAACGCTATAAAACATGACCCCTTGGCGGAGGTAATAGTAATGATAATACTATTGTAGTAATAATAATAACAAAAACAATAGTGATTATAACACTGATAACAGCAATGATAATAATAGTATTATAATAATGATAACAATAATGATAGTAATGGTAATGATAATAACAATAATGGCATTAATTAGTATAATCATAACAACAATAATGATGATGATAATAGTAGTAATTATAATAATAGTAAAGAAAATAATGACAATGATAATAATAACAATGACAACAACAACAACAATACTAATACTACTACTACTACTACTACTGCTAATAATAATAATGATAATAATAACAATAATAATAAGAAGAATAACAATAATGATAATTATTATTATGATGATAATAATAATAATGATAACATCAATCATAATCATGATTATAGAAATAGTAATAATGATAATGATAATTATGATGATGATAGCCATAATGATATTAATAACATTACCCTCAGTGATGTCATTGTTATTATCTACATCATCATTATCATTATCATCAACATCATCTTGGCTGAGTGGTTTAGGTTCCCAATTCGAATCTGCGGTCGCGACTTCGAGTCCTCTTAAGGAAAGATTGTTATTATCATTATTATCATTATTATTAT